TATCTCTTTGGTTTTGAGACTTTAGTGTTTGCAACTTTACAGATCTTCTTCATGCACCAAGAGCTTGTAAAACTCCAAAGAGAAAGGAAAGTTTGAAATCGCATCATATGACCCCTTTAACAGTCAACAAAAACAGTGTCATGTTGCAGCTGAATCTGCTCTCAGGAAACACCACCCACCTGGTAGGTTTGTACAATGATGAAGATGTTGTCCACACCCACAGCCAGCACGAGGAAAGGAATGACCTCAATGACGATAAGTGTTAGAGGGATGCCGATGTAGCTGAAGATACCCAGTGAACATGCGACTGAACTCAACACGATCAGGATACCGGCGATACCCAGAGAGATCTTAGAGTCCACCTGTGAAACGTGTAAAAATGCAGAGTTTAAAATAATTAGGACATGCAAGGTCAGCCTAAAGATGTATGCACAGGTCACACAGTCAAGTAAAATAACAGTTCACAAACAAAAACGAATGATGCGTCACAAATGAAATGTGCCGATTGTGGCATTACATTTACAGTAGAACCTTAATGTAGTGCAGATGCGGGAAAGGGCTTAAGCGTTGAAGAACAGCATAGCCAAGCACTTGAAAATTAGCACTGAAATTGTAAGTGTATATTGCTTGTATAAGTGTATAAGGTTTATAGCATATTCTTTTGAGTTAAGCAGTATCTATATTAATGCTGTCAAACGATTAATCGTGATTAATCACAACCAAAATACGTTTTTATTTACATAATGTGTGTGTACTGTGTATATTATGTACATACTGTATAAATACACACACATACAAATAAAATATATATATACACACATACATGTAAATATATATTTATATTCATATAATTCATATTATATAAAAATAGATTCAATATATAAACACAACATTTTCCTTAAATATATACATGCATGTGTAAATAAATAAATATACACAGAGCACACATATATTAACTAAAAACTTTTATTTCAGATAAATTGATTGCGATTAATCGTTTGACAGCACTAATCTATATATTTCATTTTGCATCATTACCAAACAAACATTTCGAAATGCTGTCACAGCATCAGAATTAAGGCCACATTTAGAATAAAGAGGGTCTTACCAGCACTGTCCAGAAGCTGTTAATCTGTCCCAGAGCCAGTGAGATGTAGACAAACATGATGACGTAGCTGATCACGATGGTGGTGACATCACTGTTGCTCTCGCGGTTGATCTCATCTTCAATGCTGCGCTCCGCACTGAATGAGATGGTCAGGTTGGGGTTGTCATAGTTCTTCACAAAGTCGATAAACCTGTAGAGGTATGGGCAATGGCGGTTACTCCTGAATATACTGTATATGACCACAAAAGTGTTGCCATTCTAGATCAAACTATTCAGTTTTATAACCTTTTCATAAAATATTTAGCCATAAGATATACTAAACAGATCATTTAATCAAACTTACACTTTCTCCCATGCTAAAGCTTTGCCTATTTTGTCTGTGTCATTCAGGTAGTTGTTGACAGGAAAGGTGATCACTAGAGCTGTGGCGTTGTTGTAAGCAGTACCTATATATGAAAGAACACAAACCAGAAAAATTTAAGTTATTTTTAAAATTACAATGGGGAAAAAGACAATTACATAAGCTAAAATAAAGACCATTACTAGAGTATTACTATTACATACTAGATATGATTTGTGTCAAGAAAAACGTAAACAAAAATTACAAAATCACGTTAAGACAGAAAAGGAAAAAAAAAAACAGCATTCATTAGTAATATAGCCAGTAAGAATGTTCTTCCAAAAGCACCGCCTCAAGTAGAGGTTTGTGTTAAAATTGCTAATAGAGCAGATTTAACTTACATATTTGTTTTAATTTACAATTTATGTTAGAAAATATTGATTTACACAGTATAGATCAAAATTTTGGGGAAAGCTTTTTTTAAATAAATAATTATTTCATCAAGCAAGGATGCATTGAATATACTGAATGCATCACAGTTTCCATAAAAAAAATAAAAAAAACTTTTTAACACTGATAATAATAATAAGAAATATTTCTTGGTAACAATTTTATTTTTGCTGGTTTTACTTTATTATGACAGGACAGTAATTAGACAGGAAGCGTAATGGAAGAGAGAGGGGGGACAGGATCGGGAAAGGTCCACGAGTCGGGACTCGAACTCGGGTCGCCCGAAGCGCAATGGCATCGACTAAAAACATTTTTAAAGTCTTACTGACCCCAAATTTTCAAAAAGTAGGGTATGTTACCAAAATGAGATCACAATGACGTCTTTGTTCCATTGTATTTTATGGTTATTTCAGTCAAACTAACCCTCATATCCACCAAGAGCAAGCCAGGGGAAAACTGGTCCTCCAAATGTACCCATGCAGGCGTCATGCAAGGGGCTTGTGTCATCCAGGGCCGTGGGAGAACTAAGACCAAAGCAAAAGATAAGAAACAATTTAAACAGAGTTTATTCGGTTTAATTCACGTTTAAGTTTAACAAATGCATTATGAATGACAACAGAGTGCCGGAGGGAAAACATATTTTTGCATTTTGTTGAAACAAGGTAGCATTTCCAGTTCCATAGTCCTGAAGTCAATGGGTTTTTTGGATAGGTTTTTCTTAAATGCCGAATTAAGGTCAGTGGCTCACATTATTCTACAACATAAAATACATCAGCAATCAGCAATTTATATATTTGTTTTTAAAAGTCTGAATTGCATTTAGGCTTTAAAATTCATAAAAGTTGTATTAATTTGATAGTATTGTCATGATGAAGAAAAAGTGTATAAACTGTTGCAGGGAATCAGGGTAATACTACCGTCCAGGGTGGCTTACAAAATTACATCACTACTGTATCACTCTATTAATCCAAAAGATTAATAAAAAAAAAATAAATAAAAAAAAGAGCAGAGCTCACCTGGCACAATACAGAAAATGAGTGTGGTAGTCAAAGTAGACAAAGAACTCATCAGCAATCTCATGATCCAGGACTTCATGGCTGTTTTGGTAGTAGTTTAACACACTTAGGATGGTACAATTGTCATTGTAAGGAGCCAGTGGAGAAAGACAGATGTCTTTAAGAGTAACCGTCTCTCCCTTATATTCAGCTGTTAGGTTTGTAATTGCTGTCTGAAGATCCAACACCTACATCCAACAGAGCAAGAGTTGAGTATGGTGCATGGAGGATTGACTGAATGATTAAAACACTACAAATATTATCATTGTGAATGATGCAACATGCAACTTAAATGCTTTCAAAAAATGACAGTAAAAAATATATTTTATAATGGCTTCGAAAGTATTTGGACACTTAGGTCACAATTTAAAAATGACTTGCCTGATGGAGGAGCGTTATGTTCAGAATGGAGGAGAAGTGGATGTCTGGTCCAGAGGTGGGTGAAAAAACGAACGATGCATTCACCGGGGTGGTGATGATGAGCTGCTCGGTGCGGAAAAATGGTCCGAAGTGCTGGTCGAAATAGTCCTTCTCCTGCCTGGCCCTACTGCTGGGAGACGACCAGAGCTCCACCGGGTTGGTTGTGATGCGCATGTAGGTCAGTCCGGCCGAGCAGATGGACACCAGCACCACGCTGGTCAGGATCACGGTTAAGGGGTGCCGCACACACAAGGAGCCCCAGCTGCTGAAGAGGACACGGAGACAGTTCTCAAAACGCTCGCCCAGTGTCTCGCAGCATGTAGCATCACCTAAGAAATAAGGACGACGTTCAGTTAGGGATGCAACGATTATAGATTTTGTTGGTACGATTATTGTCTGAGGAATAATCACGGTTTCACGATTATTATGCATTTATTAATTTCACAAAATTATTAATGTATAAAATCACATGGACACTCTTTAGATAATAAAGTGTTATTTATTGCTGCCGTTAGAAAGAGAAATAACACAGTAACCAATAATACAGCACAAAATAATAATAATAAAGACAAACAAAAGTCCATCTCTCCAATTGGAATTAAAAAGGTGACCTCTGCTCTGTAAACATCCATGTCAGTATTTCCATTTTGAAAATAACTAATGAAAATAGATCACAAAAGTATTTAGTGTTTTCAGTTTGTACATTCTTTACATTTCTTTTGGACCTGAGGCAGAAAACTGGAAACATGGTAAAAAAATTTTTGTTGGTTTTTGCCTAATTCATTCAAATAAATGTGATCTTACCACACTATTTCATCTGTCTGCTCTGAAGTGGGCAGAATACTGAGCTAACGAGCCGTAGCTTCGCGTCAGTCTTGCCTTCACGTCGTGCATTAAAATAGTTTAAAGCCGTGTATTCGCTCTTTAGCAGCAGTTTTTACGGCAATATTTAAATGACACCCTGGTCATTCTTGGTGTACCCAAAATGGTCCCACACTATCGACTAGAAGGATCGCTGTTTGGTTCCTCTGTCATAGTTCATCTAGTGTGTGTAGTAGCCTCCGTGTCTCTGATAAGCACAGCATTTTAAGTTGGCGCACCGCTAGTGTAACTTTGTTTTCGTTTTAGCGCAAGTTGCAACTGTTCCGTTCTGTGCAACAGAAACACTCGGTGTAGTGGAGCCTTTACGATTAATTAACCGTGACATTTTAAAGCGCGGTTAATTGTGAAACCGGTTAATCGCTGCATCCCTACATTCAGTGAGGACCTGAACTGAGAACTTCTCTGTTACACATGTAACCCTCGTTCCCAGAAGGAAGGAACTGAGATGTTATGTTGACACTGAGGTGAGGGGTCTCCTAGTGACTGACTGAAAGAGAACCGTGTTACTGGATTACAGAGATGTGTGAATTTCAGCACCACTGTTATAAACAAATGCATTATTAAATTATGAAATAAATATTAATTTTAGCAAACAGTTTCCAGGGCATCTTTTTAAAAATCTAATTCAAGACTTTAAGACCATGAAGAAAAAACCAATACAATCACAAAATAAATAATGTATCTCAGACCATTATACGCAGTTAAACTGACATCTAAACAGTCATGTAGTGAATTGCATTATGCACCAATATATCAACAAATATATATATAAATCAAAGAAGATTAATCAAACAGATAATTGTGCAGTAATAGTAAAATGTGTAAATGTGTGACAGGGCGAACCAGAGACCAGCTGTAACATTTTATGTTGAATTAAATGCCAGATAGAATTTATTACGGAACAAGCAATATCAATAATAACCGAAACACTATGCCTAAAATAGGACTTTTAATAATAAACAACCTCAAAATAAACCAGGACTCTTATAAAAAAAAAAAAATTAAATTAAAGATTACATTAAAAAAGTAAACATTTAAATAATAATAATAATAATAAAAAAAAAAAAACTATGTATCATTACTCCCAGCTGCTCATTCAAAAAAAAAAAAAGTCATAAAAATGCACTTTTACAACCAACATACTAAAATGTAAACATAAAAATAAAATAAAATCATAATTAATCAACAGTAAAGCATCAAGTTTTGATTGCTCTGAAAGTGTAAGAGAGAGATGGCATCATCTCCAAATCCAAACCTTTTAAAATTATAATTAACACTACGTTATGCACAAAAATTACATTTTACTCCCAGCTGCTCATTCAAAAAAAAAAAAAAGTCATAAAATGCACTTTTACAACCAACATACTAAAATGTAAACATAAAAATAAAATAAAATCATAATTAATCAACAGTAAAGCATCAAGTTTTGATTGCTCTGAAAGTGTAAGAGAGAGATGGCATCATCTCCAAATCCAAACCTTTTAAAATTATAATTAACACTACGTTATGCACAAAAATTACATTAAAAAAATATGCACTTACCTACGAAATCTGTGCCATCAGAGTTTATGGAGTGGGGCTGGTTGCTATCAAGAATTGGGCCATATTCAGATGTGACCATCCTATTCCTGTAGTAAAGTAAAGTAGAAAATATTGAACTTTGGCTTAATTTTAAGCAACCTTACTGAAATAGTCTGTTTGATCCTGGATTGATGCGTGGACCCACCATAAACCAACACTATCTCTATTTGCAGATTTCAAACAACAATTATGTATACATAAATGCATCCCTCATACTGTATATTTGATTAAACCTGCATGTTTATACTTAACTCATGGAAATCAGCAGGGACTGAGCAACTCAACAGCATACTAATGTTTAACACACAATACAAATTCAATATTTTTAAGTTCAGTGTGTTATTCAAACATGTAACATATCGTGACTTTTTACTCACTGGTTTCATTTTCATCTGCATTGAACTTTGGTGTTTTAAGCAATTACATTCTTAGCACATTATGAGTTTTGGTTGAACAGAATTTGCGGAGTGTGTGTTATGCTAATGCTACACTACATTTCACCTTATCACTTGATATGACCAGTCAAAGTGAAACTTTTAATTAGAAGTATAGATTATTGCTGTTGATGCTGTATCATGAGGTTAAAAACAAATAAAAAGCACATCCTAACAAGATTCTTTCTTTCTCGGTTTCACTGTCTCAAACGCTCCAATAAATATGCAGATTTTTCCAAACAATTTTGTCTGAACCATTGTCACTTTAAGTATACAAAATGTACAACAACAGCTTGCGCATATTACCATAAACTACCATTTATGGCAAAATACACTATGCAATTTACTAATCAAATAAATCCCTTCTGCAATGTCACTGATTATTTTGAGGAACTTTCCCTCACAAATCTCTAATTTCATTGATTAGTGCATGTTTAGGTCACTTACCTATAACACCATGCCCCCAGCACAACTCCAAAGAAGATGATGAGGAAGGCTATATAAGAACACCACATGATGACGGTCATGGCGTCCAGGCCGAGGATGGTCCAGGGCGGAAGGACTGCGGGGGCCACGGGTGTGGGGCCACACGCTTCACTGCAGTCCTGACATGAGCAGGGCCTCGAGCCGTCATCCAGAGACTGTGTACAGTTAAACGTCACGTTGCTCATGGGTGTCATGCCTGCAGTGGGTACATCTGGGGAGACCAAATATTTTTAAGACCCATATTATACATTTTCAGCACTGAAACCGATGTCAAGAATCTTGAAATGCTTTCAAGTACACCAAGCAGATTTTGAGGTCACCTTATAGTATGAAAGCAATAAAATGAGTGGATTACAAACAACAATTCTGCAGTTTTTATGAGTTCAATCTCAGTAAAGTGTCTTGTGATTCTGAAAGTGTCTTGTGTGTACCTGAGAAAATCGGGTCAATAGCGAAGGGGACTTGGCCATTGTTGATATCGAACATGTACTTGATCCAGTTGTTGGGAGTGCACTGGCTAGCGTCTCTCCCACAAAGCAGACTGAGGGCTTTGACATTAGTGGAGGGGGCCTGAACGTCACTGCAGGCGTTATACATGGCTGCAGAGAGACATAAAAGAAATGACTGTGTTACATTTGTTACCTACAGGAATTTAAATGGTTAGTTACAGTCCTCTAATATGATTGGCTTTAATATAGGACTTAATTCATTTAATATAAGAGTAAAAGTAATTTTATATAAGAGTACTACTGGGACATTTGTATCACTTGTCTGCTTTCATTGTGTTCCAGACCAGTATATGCAAACAGTGTAGAGCTCATGCAAAAGCAGAGTTAAGTATTTTTGCCTGAAGCAAGGAAAAAGTTTTCGAAAGTCAAGAGTGTTGGTGCTAGAGTGAGGTTTCTTTCACCAGCAAGCAGGAATAGACTACAGAATGCTTTGAAATGGAAACAAGTCCTGATATGACCTGCTTTTAATACTGGACAAATAATAATAATAATAATATCATTAATTAAATATCCTGAAAAACAAGTCTATCAATTAAGAAATACATAATAATAATAATAATAATTTGTGCGGTCAAATGATTAATCGCATCCAAAATAAACATTTTTGTTTACATAATATATGTATGTGTACTGTGTTTATTTATTATGTATGTATATTAGGGGTGTAACGGTACACGTATTCGTACCGAACCGTTTCGGTACGGGTCTTTCGGTTCGGTACGCATGTGTA